GCCCCTTTAAGGGATCCGGGGCCGGGAGGGGGGCAGACGAGTTTCCCTGGTGTTGGCCAGAGTGGCCACCAGGGAAAGCTGGGGAGGGCTAGCCTCCCACTAGTTCGAATTAAGGGGCTACACACCCCTTAATTCGAACTAGTAAGTTTGAACTAGGCTTATTCCTCGTAAAATGAGGTTTACCTAGTTCGAACTAAGCTCTCCGCTTATGCTGTAACACTTCGGTTAGTCTATAAAGTTCCACAGGACTCCTTGCCGCAAGGGCACACTGTTTACTTACATCCAGCTTCTCATCCACTGTAACCCCCAGGTCCTTTTCTGTAGAACTGCTGCTTAGCCATTCGGTCCCCAGCCTGTCACAATACTTGGGATTCTTCCGTCCCACGGGCCGGACTCTGCACTTGTCCTTGTGGAACCTCATCCGATTGCTTTCGGTCCAACCCTCCAATGTGTCCAGGTCTCTCTGGACCCTCAGTCGCCTTGGGGTGGAGGGAGAAGGTGTCTGTCTGTCTGTACTTCAGGCTGCCGCAGCAGGCTGTCCGTGGTGTGTGCAGGGAGGCAGTGGAAGCTGTCCCTGTGGTGTGGAGGTAGAAGGTGTCTGTCTGTCTGTGCCCCAGCTGCCGCAGCAGGCTTTCTGTGACAGACAGACGCAGAGCTGCTACCTTTGTCCTGGGCCCCGATGGTATAGCTGTTACTCAGTGCAGCATCCTCCAGGGTGCTGAACCAGTTCACTGTGCTCCGAACCTGGGGTGGGGAAGGCAGAGTGGCATATGGGGTGCTGGATAGCAGACATTGGCATCTTCCATGCTCACAGCCCCAGGGAGCAGCCTCCCCAGGGAGACCCATAAGGCAGCTCAGGTGAGCCAGGCCTCCAAAGCCCCACACAGCCGCCCTGGGCCTGTCAGGCCACTCTCCTTTGGGGCCCGCCCATCCCTGCCTGCTGGGGGCCCTGCTCTGTCAGTACCTTGGGCTGCGGAGATGCACTTCCGCCACCGTTCTCCAAGCTGCAAGAGGAGGGACACACACGGGTGAGAGCCTAGAGCCGCAGCTCCTGGACACAAATCAGCAGCTGCACCCCCAGCCACGGCCCCCTGGGCACCATGGTGCTCAGAGCACAGGGGACAGCTGCAAGTGCTCAGACTGCCAGCGGGGGGGGGTGCCCCCGAGCCCTGCCCTGCCCCCCCCTTTTCAGCTGGGACCCCAGACACCTGGATGGGGAGAGGATCTGACTGATATCGACTTATTTCCCCTTCCACAGAGCCTGTCCTCCCAGCGAGTCCAAGAGCCCTTAGCCTCCCTCTGGGCCAGGCACGAGTTAGCAGTTGGCCTGGGCTGCGGGCAGAGCCCTTGACTCCCTGCCCCCCCATAAGCCCACATGTCCATCCCGGGGCTAGGCCCAGGAGTGCGGCGCTCGTCCGTGCCACGGCCGTGGCCACAGCACTGGACTCAGGCCTGTGAGAGGCCCGGGCCTGGCTGCAGTCACTGCAGAGCTGCGGCAGGAGCAGTCCCTGCCCAGGGAGAGGGGAGCTGGCAGCCATGGCTGGGCGGGGACTCACGCTCTGTGCCTCCGGCGATCCTGCGTCTGGTCCTGGAGCGAGCTGCACAGCCCAGGGTCCCGGCTCGCAAAGTCCGAGAGGTTCTGCAGGACGAAGGCGCTAGTTGGTCAGGGCCCAGGCTGCACCGTGCTGGGACCCCTCAGATCACCCGGCACAGGGCCCTGGCAATCCCTCCGGGAAGAGGGGATTTGAGGTTGGCTCCATGTGGAGTAGTGCCCCCCACTGCCCAGCAAGGCCACATGCCTGGGTCCCTCCCTGGGGCTAGAAGGGTGCAGTAGCCAAGGGGCAGTTGATCTTCCCTGGGGTAGCAACCCCTGGTGCCAGATTATGGACTTGCTGCCTCGTGGGCTGCAAGGGACGGCGGCCATGGGTGGCAAGGGACAGAGCACGGCCACCCCCGGGCCAGGATCAGCCTCGTTACTCCCCGGATGTGAGTCCCCTTCAGCTCGCCAGCCTCCTGCATCCCCCCGCTCCCCGGTACCTGCAGCAGGGTCATGGCGCTGGGCTCGGCCTGCAGCAGGTGCCCGTAGAGCAGCACCCACTGGCTGGGCAAGGATCTTCTGCCGCTTGCTGAGGGAGTAGACGGCCTTCTCCTGCGCCGAGCCCTCGGACGGCTCCGCGTGGAAAGTGGGTCAGTCAAGGAAGCCACTAGGGCAGTGTGTGCTGGGGAAGCAATGGGGACAGGCCGCAGGCCTGCGGGGCACAGAGAGAGGCGAGCCCAGCAAAGTGCACCCAGAGAACGGCAGCAGCACAGCAGGGAAGAATGCACCCAGGCGCCTGCTCCCTCCACCGGCCTGTGCTCCCCGGTGCCGGGGTGGCTGTGACTCCCGTCACTGTGACGCCGAGTCGGGGTCCCCCAAATCCTGCAGCCCCGTAGCAGCAAGAACAGACTCCGCCAGCCAGAGACTAGAGAGGGTTTATTGCTGCTCCAGGACACAGCACAGCACAGACGTGATATCGCTACAGAATCCTTGGGTTAGGGGCGTCCATCACCCCCCTAGACCTCCAGCCCTCAGCTTAGGCTCACTCCCTCCTGTTTCCCAGCCAGCAACTGCCCCTTTCCCCAAAACCTCCCTCCTTTGTTCCCTGCCTGCCCTCTTCGGGTCGGACAGGTTGGGTCTTTGCCTACCTGACTTAAGGCAGCTGCCTTGCTGGGCAGTGTTACAGGTACCGGCCAGTAGGGGTCAACCCCAGCCCACACACAGCCACCAGTGGTTGCCCAGAGGGTATGGCCTGCCCACCACATCGCACACACATCGCTGAGCGATGCAATAGGCACTGCAGACATAAGCCACACACTGAGACCAGCCAAGCAAGCCCAGGTCCGGGGCTCCAGTGCGGAGGGCGGCTGTAGCACTGCCAGGCCAATGGGCACAGTATAGGGGCCCGGCCCAGGAGGACACAGAGTAGGGGCCTGGCCCGATAGGCACGGCATAGAGGCCTGGCACAGGCAGACAAAGCAAGCAGGCCCAGGTCCGGGGCTCCAGTGCGGAGGGCGGCTGTAGCACTGCCAGGCCAATGGGCACAGTATAGGGGCCCGGCCCAGGAGGACACAGAGTAGGGGCCTGGCCCGATAGGCACGGCATAGAGGCCTGGCACAGGCAGACACGGCGTAGGGGTCCAGACCGGGGGGCACGGCGGAG